GATATTCAGGCTCATACCACTAATTGAATTTCCATAGACGACAATGTTAACATATGACGAGATTGCTATATGAAAATGATGACGAAAGTTGAAAACATGGCTCAAAAATGGGAAATCAACATGCCAGTAATCAACCATATGAAAAAAACTAACATGTTGGCCTGCTCAAAATCTCAGGTAAACAAGACACACCTACTGTTTTTGGATTGCACCAAGAGAAATCACTGGAAAAACACCAAGATTAGAACATTCGAATACACACAGAATAAACCCACAGGTACACAGCCGCTAAGTAGTAAACAAAAGACCACATGTTGGTCTCACCTTTGACCCAGGTAATTACGCCCTCAAACAGGGAGCACCTGAGAAAAAAATATTTAAAAAATTTTATTGGTTCTTGCAAGGCATTTAAATTAACCAAGGGCTACGAGCAGCCATTGGTTAATTCGTGGCATGAGACCTTATACATATGCACGATCTGATTTAAGATGGCCAAATGGCGGCCATTTTTGTGCTAAAAATCACCAAAATCAAGCATTTTTCAGCTGTTTACAGATGGATATTGTTCAAGATTGGTATATACATTAGACATTATAGGACCTTGATGCACATCGTTTTGTTTTTCAGATAAGATTAAAAATGGCCGACTGGTAGCCATTTTGTTTTAATGAATGTGGTTCAAGTGCCATAATTCTGACTTGCTTTGACTGATTATGTTCAAATTTCAAATATTCATTATAGATCATGTCATAGATTTACAGTTATATTGGTTTGACGATCCTATTAAATAATGACCGAATGGTGGCCATTTTTGTGCTAAAAAATCATCGAAATCAAGCATTTCCCGGCTGTTTACAGATGGATTTTGTTCAAACTTGGTACATACATTAGACATTATGGGTTCCTGATGCACGTCATTTTATTTTTGCAGATCGGATTAAAAATGGCCAACTGGTCATTTTGTATTAATGAATGCAGCTTTAGTGCCATATCTCTGACATGCTTTGACTGATTATGTTCAAATTTTATATATTCATTATACATGTATTCAAAATGGCTGATTTTGTTTTAATTAATGCTGTTCCAGAGCAATATCTCGCAATATTCTTTCAGATACAAATGTCAATTATTTTAATGTTAAACAATCATCATAATCATATTCCTGATATGTTTTTTTCTAGCAATATTACTATAAACAAAACTATATATCTTAAATTCGATAACTAACGGGGACTGTGCCATGCATGGCTTGTTTCTACTACTTTTGATTAAAATTGCAATTTAATTGAGTTTAATTAAACATGATATATATAGAGTTATGCTTATAACTAAAACCTATTGTAAACTGCAAATCACAATTCATCGTTTAGCAGTAGCCATAAGTATATCTCTACCCCATTGCCTACAAGGGTGTTAGGATAGAGCAGAATTCTAATGTTGTTTATGTCATAATTCTGTAGGTTTTCGTCAGATTGTTGAGGATGACCAGGTGGCCCTAATGAAGATGGGTACCTTTCCTTGTGTATTGGCACGCTTTGCACAGAATTATAACACTGAATACTTAAGGTTTGAAGATACATTTCTCACTGTGTCTTATCTCAAAGTGTTGGTTGGAGGCATCTGTGAAATTAAAGCATTTGCTAAGACGTTTCAGCAATACCATCTTGACCGAATAGAAATGGCATTATTTCTTGCGATTATTATTTTAAATCCTGGTAAGTGTTTCATTTCTATCACTAGTTAATTAACTATTATTCAATGATAGTAACTAATGACTACATTGGTTACAGCACTTTTTATATGAACTTTTGATGGCAGTAAAAATGTTTCCATGTTGCTCACCATAAAACTGACTGCTGTTGACCATGTCTACATTGTATGCACTTATTGTGTTCACTGGTATTACAGAGAGAAATGAGAGTTGGTAAAGTGTTTTGCCTTGTTGATATAATTTGTCATTTCTAATCTACTCAAGGGTGGTGTATTGGGCTGTTGCTGAGCCATGGATTGTAATATATATTTTTTTGAATAAATTGAAAATTTAGTCCATGACAATATTGTACATTTAACCCAAGCAACCAGACAAGTAAAATACGGCACATACATCGCATTTATAACTGCCAATGTTATTAAATTATCGATTGTGAATATTGTTGGAAATAGATCTCTAAAAACGAGTATGATATGCAATATTTCATTTTTATTCAAACCATGTACTCTATTACATTGTACTCTAATTTTACCAAATAAAAATCTTTCAGTTGAAACAATATTGGTGACAATTCTTGTCTTCTATTTGCCAAAAGTAATATATTAAAATGTCATATTCACATTAAAAGTGTTTGCGGGTTAGCAAATGGAAAACAGGACATTTTAAATGAATTAATGATTTATGTATTAATGCCTAAAACAGAGGAGTTGTACATTGTTGTGCAGGAGTTCAAAGCGGTGATAACAATAACAACTAAAATAGCACATGAATAGATGCTTATTTGCTTAAGATGTTTTAAAGGTACAGGTTGCAACTATTTCACTTTGAGTAAGTGCCTTCTTGATTTTATTGGACAATGAATGTTAAAAACAAATAAAAAGAAAGGCTTTTCAAATAATTTGACATGGGTGTTTTTAATAAATAATGATTTCCTCTTTGACTGCACTTTCTACACAGTATAAAGTGCAGTAGTGTATAATGTGACCATAGGTGTGGTATGATATAGAAACATAGTGTGTAGGTATAATGTGATTATAGGTGTGGTATGATATAGAAACATAGTGTGTACGTATAATGTGACCATAGGTGTGGTATGATATAGAAACATAGTGTGTACGTATAATGTGACCATAGGTGTGGTATGATATAGAAACATAGTGTGTAGGTATAATGTGATCATAGGTGTGGTATGATATAGAAACATAGTGTGTACGTATAATGTGACCATAGGTGTGGTATGATATAGAAACATAGTGTGTACGTATAATGTGATCATAGGTGTGGTATGATATAGAAACATAGTGTGTACGTATAATGTGACCATAGGTGTGGTATGATATAGAAACATAGTGTGTACGTATAATGTGATCATAGGTGTGGTATG